CTTTTTCAAATCCTGTAATTTAAATCATTTAAATCAGGCTGTTTATTTAGAGTGTACCTTCACATTATGGTTAAGAGTAACTAGGACCATTTTATAAATCAGAGTTCAGATGCTTGATCAGCTTCTGTAAACTGCAGTCCTAAATTTTCCTTTGGCATTTTGTTAAATCTAACCCAAATTAGAAGCAGATGTTCACTCCATTTCTTAAGGACATACACATAATGCGTAGTAGGATGTGACCAGAGGACAAAATCATCAAGAGGAAGGTGAAAGAGGCTATAGATCAAGATGAAATGTCCATCACCTAACAGAGACGAGCAGTTTAAGCTTCAAAATATTTACAATACCGTACTCCCACCACAGGGCTGCAATAAGCAAGTAGTTTAATGCTGTGTCAATCTGATCACTCACACTTCAATGGACCAACAAAGGCTGAGTGATTCAACCGAAATATTTCATTGAAAATCAATATGTTCCAATCAGATTGTTCAAGAAATTATGATTTGAATTAGTTTTTCTCTTTGACCAAAAAAACACAAAAAAATAAAAAAAAAATATAGAATTTTGTGATAACATCTCGCATTACATTTGCATACATACATCCTACTAACTAGATTCAAATTCACAAGTTTCCATGCATCCACAGTTACCTTAAGTGCTATTCTAGGTGGGTCACATGTTAGAAGTAAGACTATAAGAAAATAAGTGTTCACATATTACTTATAGTCTAATAATATCTTTCATAAGACAAAATTTTATTGATACAGAGGAAATAAAATTAATTTATAATATAATATAGGGACTTAAGGTACAAATTTACTTAGGAACTAACTAAGGATACAACATATTGGCTTATAAGGATTTGAATAAATAGGAGAAATTATAAACACCTTTGCTTTCAACCAGGCTGTCGTCTTATCGTTATTGAGCCTGAACACTTGAAGATCATCATCACCCTTAACATCGCAGATATTAAGAATCTCATCAGAGCTAAGACAACCAGTCAGTCTGCAGATTGGAGGGTGCTCGTCATCCAAAAGAAGCTGATCAAGGGTTCTAAACTAAGATCAGGACAATAAGAATACAGACCTTGTTAACTATAATGTTTACCAGCAGATACAAATTAAGGTTATTATAATTATGTTTATAGGGGTTATTTTTTATTAACAGAAGTCAGATACCAGTACTAGTAGTCTATCACAACTTAAAAGGCGTCCTAGCAATATCTGCTTAGATTTTATGTAATATGAGATTTATATGGCCCTTTTTGTGCTAGATTAAGCTGCCTATTCCATAATTAGCAGCCAGGTATACAGTGCTAACTAACTTATTAGAGCTTCTGTGTTCTACTCAGTTTTTTACACTCCAAGAGTACTTCCATTTGAACATAGTAAACTGAAGCAAGACACTCCAGGGGAAAAATCAAACAATTCAGGTACTCTACCAAATCAAATTAAAAGTGACTTAAATAATTTGGCTTTTTCAACTGAGTCGATGATATAAATTGGCCACCATAAAGAGTCTCTAAAGTTGATGTTTTGAGAATTAGCCCTTTACGAGAGCAAATAAATGATTACCGGTAATTGATTTCATGATACTAATGCCCATACTCTCCAGTACCTTTTGAGAATATTTGGTGAGATATGGTAAAACAAGAAACAGTGGGTCCACTGGAGTTATGACAAAGAGGCTTCCATCTAGAAAAAAAAAAAAACAACCAACAATTAAACACAACAATGAGTAAGTGAGTGACTGGTTTAAATAAGAAGAAAAGGCCTTAATTCTCATGAAAAAAAGATATATGGTGAAATCCATGATAATTAAGTGACATCCTAGATAAGAAAGTGTTTACTGCCATCTTCAGTTCTTTTCCAGTAACCACATTTGCATGTAACTATATAATAATGTTGTACTTCATGAGCTGTGACATTTGGTTGCTAAGGAGTTTGAACTCTTGTCTATTTATACCTTTTTGCACAGAGTCCTCTATAAACCATGATCTGGGTTCTTCAGTAAATTTCAAGACTTCAAAGATCTTTTCCCCACTGTGAGTGAGCAAAAACTGCTGATTGTTTCCTGAAAGTGAGCAGAAGACTCAAAGTGTTCAAGCTTCAACTGTTAACAAATCTAAGCTTCAATCCAAATCTTGTAAAATTATCTAAAGCCTTTTTAAACCCTAAGAGTGAGCAGCATCTTATTTCTTTTTACAGTAATGCTGCGGTATCATGAGAATAAAGGAAATGATTGCCAACCCAAGACGCTTTGATTAACTAACAAATTCTCCTTGTCAGTCCCAAAGGAAAGGTACAGAGAAGAGTGTAGAGAATATGAATACTGTTGTTAGGGTGTAATGAGGTTATTTTAAGATAATTTGGTTTTATGAGCTGAGTTAATAAAATGTAAATTGCCTAATGACGTTTCAAACATTAGCCATTTCAGGGTTTTCATTAAGTGCCAGCTGCCGGTTCAAGAACCAGCTACTTTGATTTCTTACAGGGCT